TTGGAGGAGAAATGGAGGAGGGGTGAGGTAGGGAGGGGACGGTGGGGGGGGGGGCTGACATTTTACCCCCCCCCCCAAAAGAAAGGGCAAAGAAAAGCGGGGGGCGCGTCGCAGCAGGTTCAAAACACAGTTTCCTTTAAGCTTTCAGTTTGTGAGAATAATGAGAAAATTTCAAACAAAGTTAATTTTGCTTTTGATTAGTTGTTTTTTTTCCTCCAACTTTATAGGATTTTGTTTTTATTTATTTTCTTGTTTAGTGTCAGATCAAAGGTGTGGCATCAAAGGCAACAAAAGAGCAAAGTGAAACGCCAAATAATTAATGAGCGAAATTGTTTGAAAAAGTGTTAGAAATAAAAATCACTTTCAGTGAATTTAGTTCATCAGTTTTTAACCTCATCTGTCTTAGAACTTTTTGATGTGTCAAGTTCCTTCACTATTAATTCTCCACAAAATGTTGGAGAGATGGAAAAATAAAAGGAATAATATTTTCAAATGATGTATTTAACATATTTGTTATGTTGTATATAACATGACAATGTTATATATTCCACAGCCAGTCGACAACACACACAGCAGCTCACGGTTGTGTGACTGTGTGTGTGTGGGAACTGGAAAACAGTACCAGGACATTTCATACACACACACACACACACACGCGGAACTTTCCCTTTCACTGGGCACCGAGCGCCGCAGCATCATCCCGCCCCGTGACTCACTGGTGGAAATAACACAAGGTCACCTTGACGACAGGTTATACCGGCAATTTCTCTCCCACATCTTGGCATTTCATTAATTCTCCGGTGACTTTCCAGCCACATTCCCGGGACAGCGTTCAACAGGTTGTGTGTAATTGCGCTGTGAGCAGAGCGCCGTCTGGCTGCCACTGATTGGCTGAAGCGGCAGTGCATTGATGCTCTGTCTGTGTGTGTGTGTGTGTGTGTGTTTTAATGTGGGTGATTTGATTCTCAGTAATTGTGTTTGCCTTTGTCTGCTGCCTCCTCCTCTTCCTGACCAGAAAAACCTCACAGGGATAAACAGGAGTCAAAACACAGACGGGATGAAAAAAGAAGCTGTTGGAAAAAAAACTAGGAAGATTCCCTGGCATTTCTCTCTCTCTCTCTCTCTCTCTCTCTCTCTCTCATGGTATGTGTGTGAATGTGCTGATTAAATAACATGATATAAGTCCAGTAAAAGAGGCAGTTTTGCAGTGTGATGAAGACGTGATCATGCAGTGGGCGGCTGCAGGTACCATTAAGTCAAACCTAGTTTATATTTTTACAACATCATTATTAGACAATATCTCTGCAGGTCATCTGGACATCACAGACTGAGTGACGACTGTAGAGAGTTTATTATTGTATGGCAGCTTTCCATTTTCTTTATGCACACCCCTCTCTCTCTGTTCTCAAAAATAAATTAATTTATAACTTACCTAAAAGTGGAAGTAGAAACGATGGGTTTAAGACAATGGTTCTTAACCTGGGTTCGATCAAACCCCAGGGGTTCGGTGAGTCAGTCTCAGGGGTTCGGCAGAGGACAAAATACACACTCGACTCATGGGATTCGTGATGACATGTCGCCCGCTTGGCCATCACCAAAGGGTTCAGTGAATGCGTATATGACCTAGTGGGGTTCAGTACCTTCAACAAGGTTAAGAACCACTGGTTTAAGACTGTGTCCTGGATATGGATCAAATGCAAACATGTGTGAAACCTGTCATTTTTGTTTTGATGACCATCAGGGGTGTAAAAAACAGGACTTAGAGGATAGATGTATTTTTCAGGTCTTCTTTATACAACATTGTGTTTGGTATAATGTATTTGGTATCTCAAATGATGACATGCATATACATTAAGTGACATGGTTCAAAGACAACATAGTTTTCTACATAGCCACTACAGGCAGATAACTTCCCTGACACAAGCCAGCTGTTCCACTGCTGTGATCATCTTCAGTGGGTGGGCTGACAGACCTTTCCAAAGAAGGTTTTCTCCCAGCATCCCTTGTGCCCTAAACTGCCAACTGGCTTAGTGCCCCATGCTCAAACTCCAGACTTCCTTCATGATGGAGATGGCAGATGTTTGTCATCCTGCTTAGTCATTCAAGTTACTGCAGATAAACAGAAGCGATCAGCAGAGAAGCTGCTAGAAGAATGCTCTGAAGAATGTGATCAACATCAAACACTGAGCTTGGCATCACAGCAGCTGCTCTGCTCCGACACATGTACGTGTTGCTTTAAAGCCTGACATCTGGTGCTTTTGGATGCTGCTCCAAGTTAGTAGTGTTTGTCTTGAAGGACATTTAAGCTGCTGGAGTGATGATGTTTTGTTGAAGTTAGTCTGTGTGACCAAACCTTGGGGTAAGGACACTGGCCCAGGTTTCAGCTTAACCATTCTCAAAAAGTTAGGTTATATTATTATTATTATTATTATTATTATTTTGCGAAACAAGAATTGGTTTTTTTGGTTAAAAAAACAAAACAAAAAGAGAGAAAAAAAAAAGGCATGGAATTCTCTTTGTATCACAGAAAACTAGGAAACACAGAACAGGAAACTCACGAACAGCAACAGGTCAATGATCAAACCAGGACAGAGTGAAGGAGGGAGGTATATATACACCAGGGCACCAGGTGACACCAGTGAGACTAATCAGAGACACAGGTGAGTG